GATTATTTACTGTATGCTCTTAATTTTGTAAGCCAAAATATTCACGTGTGAAAAAGGGAAGAAAACCAACCCAGAGTTGTTAATTCTTATATTTACACTCATGAATATTACATCTGCAGTTAGCATGGAATGTTACACTGAAAGCTAATAAAGGGTACATGAATATTGATTGTTATTTATCTCTGTTTTTCCAAAGTTAATGCCGAAAATGGTGCACATGTAGAATTACTGAGCCTAAATAATGTCATCTGCTCTCGGCTGCATGTGGTGAATTCAGGAAAGAACTGCCAGAAAAATAAGAAAGTTGCCAATTTACATGTGGATTTATGATCTCTGACTAGTGCTGAGTCTTGGCATTCAAAAGATGAAAACCTTCAGCGAGAAGTTTGCCCTCTTACAAAGCCATCTCTTGATTAAAGATGTTATGTATCGTGTTTGAGTTAAAATGTTTTTAGTATGGCTTGGATAATCACACAGATTTTAATTTTCTTATTGGTACTTTTTTTTATGTTGAGAGTTGGGGATTTTTTTAAGCTGTCATTCTGTAAGAGTCACAGTCTGTCCCACATTCCCCCTGTTGGCCAACCTGTCAAAGGTGACAGGAATGCTTCTCAAAAAGGACTGTAAATGTCAGCTGCCATTTATATAATCAGGAGAGAAGGAAATCCAAGCATCAGGCTTCTAGAAAGCCAGTTGTATTTTCAAACAGTGTTCTTGAGAATGGATTTATTTCCTCTGTGTTTTACAAATGATTCTTCACTGAAATGCTATTAAAAAGGTCGGATGTGATCCATTCGAAGCTCCAGTACTTCATTTCACGTCAGTGTGTTTGTGGGGTTCAGTTATGCTCGTGGTTAACCCTTTACTGCAGCCAGCCCGGTGTCTTCCAGCACGCACAGGTTCTGTCTGCTGCTGGTAGAGGTGACAAGAGTACAGGCGGCAGCCACTCAAACCAGCCCACCAAGAAGCAGCGCTGCAAAACTTGCCTCTCTCGACACGACCACGTGCCTGAACCACCCGTGGACGATCACATGAGGAGAATCGGGACAAATCCAGCTGCCAGGTACCTTTGCTGTGTCTTTGCTGGTCAAGCTGATCTGGGGCTAGGGCGCAATGGAATGTTGAGATGTTCACATCCACCTAGAACTCGCTCCCGCTCCAAAAGCAGTGTCAAATGTATGGAAAACTTACCTTGGAGCAGTGTTGCGTTAGCAACGTGTGGGATTTTTGTTACCTGTGTGCCAGTGGCTTTTTGAGCTATCATCCCCCCCAGCAGCCTCCTCTTCAGCCAGGCAAGGCTTCCTAATTTCAGTTTTGAGGCTCAAATAAGTGAAACCTCCCGTTACCCCCTTCTGGAGGTCTGCAGGAAATAAATCCTCCAATCTTCTAGAGTCTAAAGCCAGCTGAAACTGTCCTTACAGTGGCAGTGTCACATACCTTGCTTCCAGACCTCTAAACAAACTGTCCTGCCCAACTCCAGTGCTGGATTTAGCAGTCAAAAAGGATTTGCTGTTGACTTTAAATGAAAAAAAAATAGGGCAAGGAGAGACCTTTTTTTTTTTTTTTAATTGTTGTTTTTCTCCCTCATCTGCTGTTGTGAGGAAGCGGCTTCTTGCAGGGAGACAGTTGCAAATACTATTGCCAAAGGTATTCCCTACCTTTCCCCCATGAAGATTTAATTCCTTACAGATGGCTGTTGGCCTGCTCTGTGGCAGTACGCTGGGGGAAACTGAGTATTTTCATTCTCTTACAAGAATAATGCATCTGCTTTGCAGCTTTTTTTGTCTAGATGCCTTTTGCCTCTTTTCATTTCTTTCCAGTGGAATTTCCTGTGTTTATTCGTAAATTTACTCAGAGATTTCAAACTTACACAAAAGATACCTCATTAATTCTTTTCGCTTTGACTACTATTTTTAAACCTTCCGTTTTAATTTACAGGGTAATATTTTTTAATTAAAAGCTCAATGCAGAGTTTGTTTCATGCATTCTCTCAATAAGTTTTAGTCACATAAATGCTTTTAAACTTGTACTGCTAGCATACGTTTTTTAGCAGGAGGCTTTTTTAATATTACCTTTCACATATGGTGCCGTAGAGTCTGATTTAGTGCTAAATGTCAGCTGAAGATGATTCTATAAATAAGGAAATGAAACCTGAAATGAGGTAATACATCACAAATTGCTGTTTTCTGTACTGTTGTGTTCTCTAAGGACTTGGGGGGTGAACGGACTTATATGTTATATTCATGGCACTACAGTAATATAAAATATCATTGTTTAGGTTTTACTTAAAGGAATACTAGTTAGTGGTCACTATGGTGTTTGATATAGGGAAATTATTTTGATTTGAGGGAAACAAAATGTGAAGTGGTCTCACCGGTAACAAAAGCATGACCTGTGTCTTGAAAATTTCAACCCAAAAATGAGCAAGTTAACCTGTTACTATCTGATTGCTTTAAAAGAAAAGACTTTATGCAGAAGAATAAACCAGCTGAAGAAGTGAAGGCTGGTTCAAAAGCAGGAGGGCTGTGATCTCCAGCTCACATAAAACAGCCGGGCTGAGTGCGATTCCCGCTGGTGATTTAAAAAGGCGTGATTTTAAAGTAACGAGAGAAAAATTCCGATCTCGAGGGCCCTGCTCCACCTCTGCAGCCAGCAGAGCCTGGGCTGGCACTAGTGGTGTGTGCAGGGCGCTGCAGCGAGGAGAATCCACCGCGCTGCGAAGGGAAGTGAAGCAATCCGGGACCTCTCAGGTTTCGCAGCCTCCCATCGAGCAGAACTACACATTCAGGCACGAAAATAGCCAGCGGGCAAGTGTAGGCAGTGCTTGTTCGGCTCTGACACGGAGCGCGAGCCGAGTTTCTCCCTCGCCCCCGTGCCTGCCACGCTATTTTTTTTTGTCCCACTGGAAAATCCGAAGACTTGGGGAAAACTTCTTAAATTCTTATCTCTATTTGGTTCAAATTTTCTACTCTTTTTAAGGTTGCAAGTAAAATTAAGATCTATGTTCTTTTCTTCACGCTGAAGGCATGTTATCTAAGCCTCTATTTCTGTCTAAATCCAGTAATTTTTTTTTCCCATAGGTTTATTTTTATGCTTCTATGTTCCTGAATACAAGTGTGGAACTAGACATTACATCTGATCTGATTATTTTCATTAAATCTGGGTAGTAGTCCTCAAGTTGAACTGAGAGGTTTCCTTCTGCTGGCCCTCGTGTTTTTCAGAGATTGTTTATCGTATTACGGTTGAATTTCTAAAATTGAAGTATTTCATAAAGAGTAGGCAAATCAAGGTACTTAGTGAGTCAGACGAGTTGATTTGTGCCTAGAGTTTAATTAATTTCTATGTCTGTTACCTGCAAAGTCGCTTTCTTGATATTTTCTGTGTAAAAGGTTTTCTCGAATATTGTGGATGGCAGTTAGGGAGTATCTGAAATTGTCGTCTTCTTGTAACTTTAACTGGCAGGAAATTTAGGTTCTAGTGGTGTTCTGTTGTCTCCAATACTTAAATCATCAGCTTAAATTATTTTGGTTTTTTATTGATTTTAATGATTTTAAATTGTTTCAAGAGGTGTAATTCATTTTTCAGACACCGTGGCTGGTCATACTTGCTTCTTCGTTGAGCCTGATTGTCATCAAATAATCTACCACAAATGGCTGGAGTTATTTCAGCATCATCAGCATCGATTTGCTGCATGGTGATGTCATCAATATTCTGGGGATGCTTAGATCAGAGATGCATTCAGGCCTTTTTGTGTTGGATTTTTTTTTTTTTCCAGCTTGCTGGAAAACCATTCCAGGTGATCAAGTGGTTATCAGCACATACGATCAGCGATGGATAGTATTTTTTTTTTCTTTCAGGAACCGTAATGATATTTCTCCAACCTGCCAAAGCTGCAGTTCCCATGAGATGGTAAGAAAAATGCAGAAGCTCCACCACTGGAAGGGGAAAGTCACTTCTGCCTCTCCCTTCTAGTTTGTGGCTCTGCATTCCTGGGGCTTGCCTGCTTTTGGCCTCAGCAGATGTCAGACATGTCCCTAAGCTTTAATTTCCTCAAACCAAAGAGTTTGCTTGCCCAAAGAGTTTTCTACAGCATTAGTAAGGTTTTGTGGGTCAGTGGAGGGTCTGGCGAGCAAGAGGCAGGGAGAAGTATGTGCTTCTGAGAGGCAGGAGAGATGCAGCCCTTGTGGCAGAGAAATTATGGACTGGGGTGCCTGTGGCTCTGCAGCCCAAGCACCAAACAGCCCATCTTAAAAATTTCCAAATTATGATCATTTGGGCATTTTTTACATTTAACATTTATCCAGCTGAAAATATATTTCTTGTTAAACTCATATACTTGGAGAATCCTGATAAGAATAGTTAATTCAGCGACCAAATTTACAGTCACCTTCGAACTTCTGTATTTCATGTTAATATCAGTAATGCTTCTGCTTAGCCAGCCACAGCAAAATGACTCAGTGAAGTTTTGTAACAATTTGCCCGCTGCTAGTCAGCAGTTATCTCCTTGGTGGATGAAATTTGAAGGCGGTGAAAAGCTTTGGTGATACAGGTTTGTTGCTGATCCTGGGTCGAGGTGGCCCAGCATCAGCAGTGAAGAAGGGATTGCGCGCCCGGGGTTTGGAACCACACAAATATTGACAAAAAAAAAAAAAATCCACTGGCAAAAAAAAAAAAATCTATTGGCAAGCAAGGATAGGAATGTATATATATGGAATCTGATCTATTTCTAACCACTAGCTGTTGCTCATTGGAGAATCAACTGAGAGAAGGGGAAAGGGCACCATTCGCCCAGCAGAGACGCATGACAATCGAGTTTTAAGTTCGATTAGGATTTTAAATCAGAAACGAGATAACAGCGGTGGTGACCGAACGAAACGCGGTGGGGGTTTTTTTGCTGGTTTTTTTTTGTTTTGTTTTGTTTTGTTTTTTTGCGATTCAAGACAACAAGCACGGGGTTACAGACCCGGCCTGGGCAGGCAGCAGACGCTGTCAACCCTGACCCGCTGCTGCGTTACCTGCAGGTGAGGGTGCCGGTACTGAACCGGTATGCGCGCAGAAACATGGATAAGAAAAGGACGAGTGTGGGAGGGAGTTCTTCCAGAACAGATGGCGCTGCAGATGCTCAGGGCCGGGCCGGGCCGGGCGGGGCGCTGAGGCGGGCCCGGGCGGCGATGCCCGTCCCCGTTGCCGGGGCCGCGGGGGCCGCGGGGGCCGCCGGGAGGGCCGGGCCCTTCGGTAACCGCCGGGGCCGCCCCGCCATGAGCGGGGACAGCGCCCTCAGCCCGCCCCGCTCCCCCGGGCCCCCCGGCGGCTCCGAGCCCCGCTCCGGCTCCCCGAGCGGCGAGGAGGAGGAGGAGGAGGAGGAGGAGGAGGATGAGGCGGGGCCGGAGGAGGAGCGGGCCGCTCCGGGCCGGAGGTAACCCCGGACCCCGCGGTCACCTCCATCCATCCCTCCCTCCGCTGGGGACCTTGGGGACAGGGGGTTGTCTTACATAAATATAGACTCGTTTGCATAGATAAGCGCTTTATTGTGCCGTTTTGGGTTGCTTGGGGTCTTTTTTTGGTTTGGTTGGGGTTTTTTGTTTGTTTGTTGTTGTTGGGGGGTTTTGTTTGTGTTTTTTTTTTTGTTTTGGTTTGATTTGTTTGGTTGGTTTTTTTTGTTATAGGGGGTTTTTTTTCCCCCCTTATATCTTGCAAAGTCTTCTCGGGGGCAGCTGAGTATTTTTTTGGGGGGGTTGTAAACCATCTACAGAGAGGTGGTGGATTCACCATCCCTGGAGGTTTTTAAAAAGAGATTGGATGTGGCCCTTAGTGCCATGCTATAGTAATTGGAGTTGGATCAGGGGTTGGACTTGATGATCTTGGAGGTCTTTTCCAACCCAATCTATTCTATGATTCTATGATTCAAGCAGTTTGACCCCCAGCCTCGGGGTCCTTTGCCAGAGGAAAAGCTGCAGCCCTTCCTGTCATCCTTTTAAAAAGTTCTTGGAGACCAAAGGGTTCTTTTTCGCCTAGTGTATGTAGCTGCCTCCAGAGTCAGCGCTGCCTGTGTGCATCGCACAGTGCCCTCTCCTGTGGTTTAATTTCGCTCCCTTTGAATTACGTGCAAGCCTAGCATGTCGTCTTCTTACTTGGGACCTCACCCGCTTGACGGGAGAATAAATAATTTTGACTCCTCCCTTTAAAACAAAAGGAGGAAGAGCAGGCAGTGGCAGTCTTACTCTGGAATACAGCCTTTGCCGTGGAAACTTAACACACTTGTGCATTAACTGGTGGTGAACGTAACTAGTAAGGCAGAACCGAGCTAAAAGTGCAGGTGGGGCCAGGGTTGAGGGTTCCAGCGTGGTTCTCAAACGGAGGGATATGTCACCATTCACTTCTTCCCAAGAATAATTTTTTTTTGTTTTTCATTTACCTTGAAGTTCAGTAGCACTTGGTTCAAGCTGCAGCATGTCTTTACAGCTTGAGATGCTCTTTGAAACAGCTCTCAGTTTTGGGGCCTGTTGCTGCAGTATTCTCTGGCAGCACTAAAATACAATTGAAGATGACCTCTCTTAGGCCTGAGTTAGCACAGTCTAGTTAATATATATATATATATATATACAATATATACTTCCCTCATGCAGACACCACTGCTGTTTGTGCTGAGTGCCTACCAAATGTTCACATATAGAGATTCCAGGTATAGGTGCCAGGATCTCAAAAGTATAATAATAAAAAACACTTCTTACGTAGCCAGTGCCCTCCCCACGCATGCACATGCTCTGAATCCTTTTGTTTTTTTTGTTGTCCTCTTAAAACGACACAGAAATCAGCTGGAGGCAGACATCCAGTGTGGGAAATGCAATGTTTGCAGAAGAGAAAGGCTGTGAAACGGTGTTTAGGCATTTTCATACTTTTCATTATGGACCAGCAGTGTCGTGTTTGATGGTGTGACGTGAATATATGGCAAGTGATTATCACAGTGTTTTCTATTAATCACACTTCACTTCTAATGCCAAATGTGTCTGCCTTCTGGCGCAATCTGAGAGCTTGGGACACGGTACTGGGGAGGTGTTTCTCCTAAATTCGTACTGAGGTCTTCATATTGAGTGTATTTTCTTCTGTTGAAGCTCCATGCTTATTTGTCTACAATAAATTTTTAATCTATTACTGCGAATCATTTTTTTTTTGAGAAGCTGACAGCTTGAACTTCATAGTTACTGATGCGAGAAAACACGTAGTAAATGTTATTTTTCTTAATTTGGTCCTTCCCCTGGTACTTTTTCTAGGTTTGATTTAATGTGTCAGCCTTGTTCTAGTACTAGGTGCCACAATGCAAATCATGCAAAGCAAAGGAATGCACTGAGGAAGTATCCCTGCCCAAAATGTCAAGTCTGTACAAAGTTGTGTGGGTTTTTTCCTGGATTTGAATGCAGAATACTTTTATCCTTATCTTTAATAAACTTTCTGAGAGTTATTTTCTAACAGGACAAAACTCCTTGGCATTGATATTGTCCCCAAATGCTTCCCATCACAGAAATTTGTTGACTTTGAGCCTAATATACTGTCTTACTTAAGAAATAGTGTGTGTATAGAACATTATAAAAGATATTTCTGACCTAGGGCTAGGACTGCTGCATTATTCATGAGTGAAGAAGTTATGAGTGGGTTATGTATGGTATTCTCTTAAAAGTCTGATAGAACCTTGTATAATTCCCTCAAGTATTGTATATGCTTTCTGCATTTCTTAAGAGCGTTTCCTGTGAAAGCTTTTTAAGGTGGAAAACTTTCTCTCTTGGAGTGAATGCATCCATAGTGCTGAGATGGCTTGATGTCATGAATCCATGGCACTTGAAAGAAGAAAAAAAATATCCTTGTTCTTTCTTTGCTTGTACTAAGGGTCACTTGATACGTGAAGCCTCTCGGTGGGCAAGGACAGGATGTTAATTTTGAGCTGGTTTTCCGTGTGTGAGAAGGAAGGTGACACTTTGATGTTAGTGGTGTTCTTTTTGTTTAGGTTCTAGAAGGTAATGATTGAATCTGTTCCACAGTTTAGAGTGAGAAGGGCAAGGGCTATGCCAGGGGTGGGGAAATCACTAACAAGCTAGAATTTAACAAGTAGAGTGTAGAATATAAGGGAGATGGCCAGAGGTGCACTATAAATGCCATTTATCAGTTAAGGAGGTTACTGAGCAAGTAGAAAAAGGATGTCATTGTTGTCACATTATGCCATAAATGTAGTTTTTCAAGACAGTAGCACTGCTTAACCTTTCAATCCAATACATTACAGATAATATTCTCTTATGTTTCTCATTTTTAATTCAGGAAGGCTGAAGACTCGGAAATAGCAGAGGGGGCAAAAGAGTCACCTTTGAAAAATAACCTTTCACCGTGGGAAGAATGGTTCATTGGCAAAGAGAAGGAACTGCGTGCCCGCTCCCAGGCTAGAGCTGAAGAGGTGAATACATCCAACTGGCCTGATGTTAAATCTAACAGAAGACAGGAAACACCGGGGATTTTTTTCCTTTGTGGAAACCTGAGTAGTGTTGTCCACTTTTTTTATTTTTTTTTCGGTGTCCCGGGCCTCCATCGTGTTTGTGTTTGACAGCGTTGGCACGAGTCATGTCATGTGCATTCCCTTTTGCCAAATGTTATGCTCCGCTGAAGTGGTGCTGTGTGATATTTTGCTTGTCCAGCTGTCAGGTGATGGTTGGAGTTTAAAAGGTTAAAGCATAATTACCAGCCTGGCACCTCGATTTTCATCTCGGGTACACACACCTGCACGGAGGGAGTAAAACACAACAGTTTTATACAGCTGGCTGTAAGTGTGCCAAGCTGCTCAGTTAGATTTGAGCCACAGTGTTGTTACCCACTTAGTGTGTCATTTTACAGCTGTTTGGTGTCCTTTCCCAGGATGGGGTGCCCTGTTACAGTGTTTACCACCCCCCCCCTCATTCTATCTTTTGCCCCCTTGCAAATGAACAGTTCTTGAGTACTAGGGCTGGGGCACAATTAAGTGAGAGTACTATACCTTTCTTGATTAATACGTTTGTAATTGCAGTTGATTAAACAATACCATTGTTGAAAATCAAACTGTGGAAGTATTGGGTAGTGATTAGAACAACCACATCAAAGTTAGATAATTTCTCACTTTAGTTACTGATTTACTATTTGACCTTGAACAGTGTCCTCGCCTTTCTGTGGTTATCTGTAAAGTGCACGGAGCATACAACTGTTTTATGTGGGCTACCTCATGGTAAAACACCAACTGATGGAAGGTTCTGGAACAGTCTTTCAGAGGTCAGCAGAACACCAAAGTAGTTCTTTGAGCTTGAGGAGTATGTTCTGTTCCATTAATATCCACCAGAGGTTTCATGACTTCCCCTTTATATTCTAATTTGGTAATTGTCTTTCTCTATTTTGATTTTTAAGTACAAAAAAAAACGAGCCAAAGCAATTTTGGGCATTATGTAGAAAACGTGGTTTGTGTGTGCACCTCTCATGTGGTCTTGATGAGGAACCAAAACAATTTATTCTTGTGTAGCACACAATAACATTTACACCATTCGAAATGTAACCCAGCAGATATCTCTTCACTGGAGATAAATAAGTGATTGCATGTATGCTGTATGTCACGTGTCTTTTCCAAAATCTCAATGAAGGAAAAAATACCAAAATCTAATGCTTACCTTGTTTAAACTGCACCACTGTTTCCAGTATTGGTGTAGATGGTCACCGTGGATTTAAGATGTATGCTTTTTCTTTATTTAGGAAATGAATAAACAGCTTGAGAAGATGAAGCAAAAGCAAGAACGTGAAAGGAGGAAAAGGATAGCTGAAGAGAAACACAAGGAATGGGTCCAAAAAAAGAGAGAAGAGGTAAACATTGCTTTGGCAAGTACATGCCATGTACTTTGAGTAAATCTATGTGAAATTTACTCAGTCTGTTTGGACACCCGTGTCTTAAGTTTGCTGAATGAATGGCTGCTTTAACTGAAAATGATAAAACCATGCCAGAACAGTTAAATGTCTTTCCAAGACTGATCTGTTTTCTTCCTTAAGGTGCAAAGTGATTTGTTTTCTAAGTACTCAGGTAGCTGATAACTGGCCTACATCTTGTGCAGTGGCCTTCTGCTGATTATAGCTGTGGTTCTGGTCTTCAGTGTACCCTGCTTTTTGAGACTTCCTAGGTTCAGTGCCCAAATTTTGGGTGAAGTGCACACCCTGACTGTGTGCAATCTCTTGTACACCAAGTAGAGCCAGAAGAAGGATTTAGTTAAGTACTGCTGTGGACAGGCAAATAGTATGGTAAAGCTTAGAGGGATAATTGAGGTGTGGAGCCAGATTCAGGAAGATTCTTAGTAGACCACAGTTAGCAATTGGGAATTCCTTGATCCAAAAAAGTAATTTCTGAGTGGGATCGAAAGATATTTTAAGTTTTTTAAGAGAGGGATGCCTTAGTCCAGGATCAGAAGCAGGCAGAATCTTGATCTCCATGGGCCTCTGTACGGCTCTGTGTCACATGATGTCAGCATAAGCACTGGGTGACAAAAATGGGAATGCTCGGGAGACTTGGGCTTGTGTGTAGTGCATATGTTTGCAACAGTAACAGAAATCCCCGAAGAGGAATGCATGCATCCCAAAATAGCTAGCTCTGAAACTCACGTTGTTAACGTCCTTGTGTTTAGTCTTTGCATGTCATTCTTTATGCTGTATCAGTGTGATATCTAGCAAAGTTCTAAGAGCACGAGTTGTGAAGTTACACATTTTTAACTGGAAAAACTAATTATTCCAATAGCAATCTGAATTTGTCTGTATTTGACTGTATAATATTTCTAATATTTTTTGCACTGCTGAATGGAGAATAAGGCATCGCTTTGTTTTTTAAAAGTAAATATGAACAAAGCAGGCATTAGTCACAAAATGTGAATGTTCAACTTTTTTTGTTCATCTTTTTTTTTCGATAAGACCCCTTTACTCAGGGAAAGAGACACCTACTACTCCCAGAAGAGACACCTAGATTCCAACTCTTACTCCAAAGACTTTCTGTTTAATGTGTACTTTGTCTTGTTAATGAGGAGCACAGATTGTTCAGCAGCTTGAGCGTGACTTTCAAGTTCAAAAGCCGTGCTCCCTCATGCTCCCTTTCTTTCATCCAGCGAGTTGTTAATTATTTTGTGAGGAGTGGGGCCATTTCAGCAGAGAGGGATGGAGAATCCTGTCATCCCAGCCTGCAGCCCAAGAGGTGGAGACTTCTCCTCTCAGTGGGACCTGTTAATTGGAATCCCCTCTGGGAAAAAGATAGTGAAATCCAGATCTTCCCTGTCCTAGGTTAGTGTTGTAACAGCTCAGCTATTGTTCTGAGTCAAAGCAGTGGTTGTCAAGGTAGACCCTGATGTACTGTGGTTTTTGCTGACAGTTTAGACTTGAAAGAGATACTTAGATGTCTGTTTTTTACAAGACTGAACCCTTTCAAGAAATGTGTTTGTGAGGGCATCTTCTAGCAGAAATGCTTTCCAATCTTGAGGACCAACTGCATTTCAGTTTCTATTGATTGACTATCTTTATATATCTTAAAATTTTTTGTGACTCTGGGACAAATTTATTAAGGATATTTTTCTGCATACTGTGGGTCTTTCACTCTCTGAACCTGGAGTGTCTTTACCCAAAACTGTTCTGTGACATCGTGCATAACCAATGCCGTGGTTATTATTTTAGATTGTACCTGAATCTTAATTACCTTTAGATTTCTGTAAGTAGAATGAACTTATTTCTGGTGGTCAGTGTTAGAATGAGTTTTAGACAGAGTTGTGGCGGAGGAATTCAGGGTGACAGATGAACAAGAGTGCTCCTGTGTTTCAGCAGCATTTGCGGAGTCTTCTGAAGACCCTGAGAGTGTTCCAGGGACCAAATATGTTAACACTTTCTGCTTGTCACATACATTGATTGCCCACATGAAATGAGCATGATCTGGGAGAAAGATCCAATAACTCTCCAGTTCCCAGACTGCAGTGGGGTCTGCACTGACTTTGTGTGAACTTGAGCAGTAAATCCTTGTAAACCCGCCTGTCAGGGGACAACTGCAGCTCACTGTGGTTTCACTGACCTCCTTTCCAGCCTCTTGTTCTTTTCACCTGCCAGTTCTGGAGACATTAAAGGAGTGTTTCTGTGGGCTGGTTTGATCACTGAATTGTGTTATAGGGCAAAATGGAAAAGATAATTACAGTTGTCTGAACAACCCGGATTTCCAAGATTGCTAAATGTGGTTGATGTTCAGGATTAGTATGAGGATAAACAAGGACATTTTGATGTATATTCTGATGTTGGCAGTGTGGGCTTCTCCTATATTTTGCCACTAGTCAGCATTAAATAATGCTAGAATACGGTAGCTGAGATGTCAGAGCAAACAGCTGTGAAATAGAACCATCATCTGTGAGAAGAAAAGTGTTGTCACTTTCTGCAGACAGATAGTGGAAAAGGATTGCTGTGAGAAGTATCTTAAAAATATCAATCACGTCATTAATTTCTGGAAATATTTCTACTCAGTGTCAACCTGAGTAGAAAATGCAGAACAGAAGCATCTCTGCACTTTACCCTCTCCAGCCTCCCATTTTATTAGTTTTCTTCCAGTTGGATATCATGCCTCTCTTTCTAAGGCAATTAGGCTTTTTTTTTTTTCCTGCATGGAAAATGATTTAACGCTTCTGCCTTCTGTCAGGAAGGAAGTGGGGTGCTTGTTCAAATTTCAAAATCCTTTGACTGCTGACCACATACACGCAGGTCGATTTTTCTTGAAAAGTTAGTAGTTAGTACTGACTTAGTGAGACTGAGTCACCAGCACTGCCCTGTGGGACAGAATGATTTGGTTTGGGTGGGGGATTTCCAGGTACAGACCTAGCCCAGACTTCATTAGGCTCTGAGGCTTGATAGGATCATAGCCCAGAGCAGTGAACCCTCAGGGTAGATTTGTATCCTCTCTCCTTAATTACGTGCTTGGGAAGGGTGGCAGGAGAACAAGCCCTTCTTGCAATGAGTAATTGGGTGTTTTACAATCAATACCTTAATTTAGGTAATACCTGTAATCATATTTTAATGTATGTAAGCTCGCTAGTGGTTTGGTGAATAGGTCGTGTCTGTTTTGAACACAAGATCAAAGAGAATTTTTAAAAACCCAATCTGACAACACCAAGCATAAACAAGCAATTTCTCCCTCCCATCTATACATAGAAGGAAAGTAAAAGGAGACTGAAGAATGTGTACATTAGTATGCACATTCGTAGCATTTTTGATAGATTTGTAGAAGAGAAAGCAAATGAGGATGGGGGGAAGCTGGGAAGGCCAGGGTGACAGGAGTGTGACATGAAACAGGTTCCTAAAGCAGCTGGGAATGTGGTGTACACTGACTTTGTGAAGGAGAAGCTGTTCTGATTGTAAGAGAGAGAGAGAGAGGAAGCGTTTCTGATTTGTCTGCAGAATAATTTCTAGGCAGCTGCAAAGCCTACAATTCTGCAGGGAGTCTCCCTCTCTTAAAGATTTCTCACTGGAAGTAAAACTTGGCAATAGCTGTGGCTTTCACGGTGGTGTGCATGGCATGTTACTGTTTGCACAGGACCTAATTTAACTTTGGGCTGGCCTAGGCGGTAGCTAAACTCACCTGAAGTATTCTGATTAAAGATACGTAATTCCAGAAGCTTCCCTGAATTTCATTTGGAATATTTAGAAAGATTTTCGGTCTTTTTGCTGCTTGTAATTGTTTTCCATTATTGAACAATTCCCCCTAGGTATGGAAGGGGCCCATTTTTTCAGCTTTCTCCTATATTTTTTTTTTCACACCTTTAAATGCTAAAAGACCCTTAGCTTAAGGCTGTAGTTTTGGAAGATCCTGAGTTTTGTGACCTACATTCTTGTCCATCAGAGGCGAGTCAGCAAACAATAAATGTGTGAAGTCTTTGTCAGCCTCCTTCACCAATAGTCTGACTCGGTGATTTAACCTTTATGTGGGGAATATTTGTAATGGAGAGACAGAGAAACAGCTCTGGATAAATGAGATTAAGATGAATTTTAGGTGATGAAGGAGGAAGACCTTAGACAATTGATTATTTGTTTGGTTTTTTTCAGGAAGGTGATACTTAGACTCTGCATAACTTGCCAAAAATACATTAATTTTCCTTTTCAGCGTTTTTAAGTACGGAAGCATTTGTTTCATGTTAAGAAAGATCTTGTTTCCATTCTCTACTAGTACCTAAACATTTCCAGAATCTCAACTTTTTTCCTTTTTCTTTTTTTTTTTCCCCAAAATGAAATTTTTCTTTTCGTTGGTCTTATTTGTAAATAATTCTGTTTACATGTACAGGCCTCAGTGCTGTGAAATGATATTAATATCATAATAAAATCAACTACTTTGTAATTCTATGAAGTTTTACGTTCCCGAATGTACATTGAAATGGGAGGGTATTCATATCTGACCACTTTCCCTGTGCTACAGTACAGATTCAGCTGATATTTGCTAGAATGCATTAGAAGTGAAAAACTACATATCTTCTTTGTTCCAGAAGAGTAACGCAGGGAAGCATACAAGGAAAAGATTTCTTAAAAGAAAAATGACTTTTTTTTTTTTTTTTTAACAGCTCTTTTCTCTAAAGAAACGTTTTCCCTTTGATAATGTGGAGAGGAGAAATGTGTGGATTGATTCAGTGGAGCAGTCCCTGTGAGAATGAACTAAAGAACGTAAAAAAAAATTTAGAGAATGCCACAAAACACGAACTGGATTTTCATGTGAACTTTTTATTTTCCCATCAATTTTTGCCCAAGTGTGCTGAGCAACCTGCATATCTCAGTGACTTAGGAGGGGACAGTTTGCCTGTCTTTCATTTGGAACTGTGGTTTGCTCTAGATTTCACTGACAAGTAGAACCAACACACCACTGTCGAGAATTGCAGCATGTATTTCTTTGCCAGAAATACTGAGAAGCGTCTGAAGTGTGTTTTAATACGTCTGAATAAATAAAACAGAATAGTAAACACAATAATATATGGAGGCCTGAAAGTAAAATTTTTAATCATGTTTCTTCTGACGTGTTTATGTGTCTAAAACTGTTTTATCTGGAACCTAGAGATGAATATGTTCTCTCTTCAAGGAGGTTACAATATTACACATTTTTTTTTCAGGTTCATGATGATTTTATTTGTAATTATGTAGCAAAATTGACTGTATTCCTCAAAAGAATTGCTCATGGAAGTATACTGAGAAGTTTGTATTCTGTTTCTTTGTTGTGTTTCACGCAGGAAAGAAGAGAAAGGGAACGAAAGCTGAGCAAAGAAATGGCAGAAAAAGCCACAAGGGAACTTGAAAAAATGCAGTTACAGGAAAAGGCTGAGGCAAAGTATAAAGAATGGCTACAGAAGAAGAGAGCTGAAGAGGCAGAAAAGAAGAAAAGAGAAAAGGTATTAATGAACTGATCATTTATTTGGATGGAGTTACTTAATCTGTAACCTGTATTGAATATGTTGATATCACGTGGCATAGTCCACATTGAAAACTCTGTGGTTTGTTCAGCAGAACAGGATGCACATTAATGCATTTTTGTTGATAGTCTTTGAGCTTTTTTGGTCAGAAACATGGGAGTAACATGCAGATTGTTTGGTGGTTTTTTTAATTTTTTTTTTCAGACTTAAAAGGTTGCATCCTTTCTGTTGTTTGGGAAATGTGTTTGTAGTTGAAGGCATATTTGTAATACATTCAGCAGTCTGGAAATTCTGCAAAAAAACATTGTTTACCATTTTGTGTATATGGTAAAAGCCTTTGTCTATAAGTATCTTAGATTTTTTTTCTTTTTTTTTTTTTACTTTTAGGAAAAAGAAATAGAACGGGAAGCTGAGCTACAGGAGAAGAAAACGAGATCGGAGAAAATCTTTAAGGAATGGCTGCAAAATGCTAGAAATAAACCACGCCCTGGCTTAAATGGTTGTGGTTTCCCACATGGGAAGTCTACAGGTTTGTACTTCTAGTACACAAATATGTAGTGACTTAGACTTGTCCTTATTTGAATTCAAAACAGAAATAATGTTGGGCCCTAAATTCTGACTGTTTAAACGTGTATAAAGCAGGGGAACAACCTTTACTCTCTTCCTTACGTTTATTTATAGATAGTGATACCCTTTGCCTTCGTGTTTTGGTTTGGACCTTCATTACTTACTGGCAACTGCAATCATTTATTTAAATGATTTTTGAAAAGTATTTCTCTGCTCAGGTGTGTTCATGCAGCAGAATGTATCACAGACTTCGATGTGCATCCATCATGTGGTTGGGTGAACAAAGTAGTAGCCAATTCAAAGACATTTACAGCTTTTAAGTATGCCAACGACTGAGCATTCAACTTGCTTATTATTTAAGTAGAAATGAACGATACCCCATTTATGGATTAAAAAAAAAAAAAAGAATATTTATTATCTTGAATAATTTAAATTATGTGACGTGCCTGTGCTGTCTTTCTCCGAAGATGCTGTTGTGTCTTTGTTAGTCCAGACAATCACTATAACTGCTTGTTTATTATTATAAAAGCTTGCAGTGTAAATGTTCCTTTTTAGTTATGTGTATTTTCTAAATGTTTTAGGGAGTGCTGACAGGAGTTCATATCCAGCCCCAGCATATTGTAACCCCATTCCTTGGAAACCCATCCATGTTCCTCCCCCAAAGGAAGACAGTGTCCTTACCATGAAGAAGAACAAGAGACTGTCTTGTCAGCCACATGCATCTTCACCTATGGTAATTTCTAAGCCCAAGAACAACCCTGGTATTGGATCCTTGTGCAGAAAGAAGTCATAGTTCAGAAAAAAATTGTTCTTATGATCTGGAGCAGACTGGGCCATAGCCATAAATGTGAAATTCTGAGTAGTCATACGTCCAAAGCAGATTGCTTTCTGCTTTTTTTTAATCTTCATTTTTGTGAATAGGTTTTGTATTTACAGGTAACTGACCAATCAGGGTTTTTTATGGTTTTTCTATGTTACATTTTAGTAAAAAAAAAAAAAGGAAAAGCAAAAGTCATCTTTAATCAGCTGTAATGGGACTGTACCTTAATACCAATAAAATGCACAGGATTGTTTGTTACTTTCCCTTCTTGTTGTTGAAGGCGTTCTTCTGTGTATGTGATTATTCTTTTGGGAGACCACATTTTGGGGTGCTGTGTCCACCCCCGGGCACCCCAGTACAGGAGTGACACTGGAGCATCTGACAGACAGAAGCTGAGAGAACTGGGACTGTTCAGCATGAGGGAGAGAAAGTTCAGCAGTGTGTGAGCAATGTCTGTAAATACCTGATGGGTGCAGACCCAGAGCATCCCAGTGGTGCCCAGGGAGAGGAGAGGAGGCAGCGAGCACGAATTAAAATACAGGAAATCCCATTTAAACACAAGGCAGAAATTTTTAAAGGGAGACTCATTAAATGCTGGAACAGATCAGTTGTTAGTCTCTCCATCTGAACTTGCTATGTGGAGATGTCTCATGAGAGCCAGAAGTTTGGCAGTGGTGTAAGCTGTGAGAAGCTCATGAGTGTTCAGGAGAAGGGACAGCATTTTACTGTAATGGAGATGATTCATTTTGGGTTGGGACTGATTTAGTTGAAGAGTCATATTACTGTCATGGTAATGTTTTCTCTGATAGTTTCTCTGAAATAATGTGTAGCCACCAGGAGGGTGTGTTGACATAATCACCTGAGTGTACATTTGTGACTTTGTGTTTGTTTTAGCATTTATTTGCTTGTAGTGAAATAAAGCGACCTACATAAAATGACTGACAACCCCTAAAATAGAAGCTTTAAGATGAGGCCCTTGCTGTAGTCCGTCCACAGGATTGTAAACACAGTTCTGTCCTAACTGAACTATAAAAAAAGGTTAAGGCAGGATAGCTCCTGAGTGTACATACTGGCTCTGATTCAATCCACATCATGGTTTTGCTGAAGAAGAGAAATAGTGTTTGGAATTTTTCCAGCAAGATACCAAACAGACAATGAAATGGTGTGGCCTCGTGGCATAGTTTTAGATTGTGCGCTATGGAAGGCTGTAATTTCGTGCTGTTGTGGCAACTAATTTACACCATTCTTTCTCAGATATTAGAAAAGATAAAATCTTGACACTTTGTTGCAGCTTAAACAGCATTCTGTTATTTTGTTGTTAAGGTCTCTCCTGAATTTCTCTGTGCACAAAATCGCACAGTCGATCGAGTTTCAGAGTCTCAAGTTACTCACTGGAACCAATCCAAGATCTCGCATCTTGATGTCTATGCTGCTAAAATAACAGGAGACTTAACATCAGCTTTTTTTCCATCCCCATGTTTTTGCAGAAAAATCATTTTATAATGGCATATCAGACAATTTTTGGAAAATGCAAAGACTTTTTCTTAATTATGCAGAATTAAACATTTGCTTGGACTGTCTTAGTGACTTGAACAGGGATTGCGAGTGTTTAGTTCACAGGCAAATTTGAATTTACAGAAAATTGGCAGAGTGGGTCATTTGGAAAGTAAGATACTTGAAGTTCTTAGAACCTATTGAACTGTGTTGTAGGGAGATGCATTCAGTGACGTTTCAGTTATGTTAATGATATTGTTACAAAGAACTCAGACTTTGATTTGTTTTACTGAAGTTAAAACTGAAATTATTTCGGTATTATTAACGCTGAACAACAATAAGTGCTTAATCCAGCTTGATAAATATCATAGTAAGTGCTTTTGTGTGCAGGTCCTGTGGAAGATGGGTCTTTGACTTTTCATTTAAGCACTGTGAGGTCGTTTGTTTTTTGATTAAGGCAGAAAGTTGTTAATAAGTAATCCAGCAATGCCAGAACATAAATAGGTGCTGGAATGTTTTCACTGTAACTTGAGTCTGACTAAAACAAAACCAAAAAAAAAAAACCTACAAGTTTCATTGTACAATTCCCCCCCATAAGTGGTGGCACAGGTATGAAACCCACAATATGTAGGTCCTTTTGGGTAAGGTGTTGATCAGGGTAAGAAGAAAGCTCTTCTGTTTCCCTTTACATGGGCACACCCACCATTAAATAACAGTTCCTGAAAGCCACGTGCAATATCAGTACCTGTGAGGGGACAGCAAGATGACCGTGGTAGGCCTGAGTTCAAACAGCTCTTCAAAGGTGCTGGTGTAAATCCACACTTGAGCCTTTCCTAACAGAACTGTCATCAGGTTGTTAGAGGATGGGTCCCAGGAACTCCTGTGTTGTTCTTGCTGATGCTCTAGTTCAAAGGACTGACACCAGTGGCTTTATTTCCACTGTTCAGAAGTGATTTCTTTGTGATGTTCCAGCCCCTTGCAGCTGACATCAGCCTTATGAATCTCCCTTGTTTCCTTGTGCGTACTTCAACCTCAACCAGAGGTGGGTTTCTTGGTTTCCTTTGGGTTCCAGACCTTGGTTTTATTTCATATCCGAATTCTTGTGCTTCTCAGAGGGAAAAGGGGAGGGTAAAGCTACCAGCATTCTTGGTGTAGAGGAAGTAGGAAATACAGCCCCAATGAATTTGGCAAGGGAAGTATTTTCATACTGGTTTAAGAAGCCCTGGGATCCAGATGCTTCTGATGTTTTTTTTTCTCCTTTTCCTCTTTTTTTTTCCTTAACTTGCTTTTCAAGCCAAAGTTATTATTGAACTATGTGCCTATCATGTTTCATGAGATTCCAACACAAACAGATCTTTGGAAAAAAAAAATCTTCCAACTTTTTGTGTTATTTCAGGTGGTCTGGGTGTGTTGCTCATGCATAAAGTTGTTAGGCTTCTTCTAAGACTGCTTCAGAGGTATAAGATTTCAGGATTAAAGTGCTTAAACAGGAGTAGGGACACTAAGCTTCAACTTTATGCCTTTTAAAACTATTGAAAAGTGTCATTGCGACTTACCTTTAAGCCTTTGATACTTTTAAAGCATAATCTTCTTGTAAAGCAGTTCAAATGTGTGGTACAGGCACTTAAAATATTAATCTGCTTCATGCCTAGTCCAGTTAGATCAGTGATTTATTTTTCATTTACTATCCAGTAAAGTTACAGAATTTGACTTCCCTCATTCTTTTTGAAATGGCTGTGTTTTTTCTGGAATAGTTTACAGGTAATAACAATTCCAAAGCCATTGGTCTAGAAAATGAGATATGTGAGTGAATGGAAATCACTAGTTGACTATTAGGAAATGAAGTGGTTTGATTTTTCTTTTTTTTTTTTCTGTGAAAAATCTCTTGTAAATCTCAATCGTAAATTTTGTTTAAGTCCTCTGCAGGAAGGGTTTGCAGTTTAGGCTTTCTAGACCAGATCACTGGCAAGCAAAAGACACACCTCACGAGCTCATGATACTATCTACAAAGTGCATCCAGGAGTTTGTTTGTTTTCTTCTTTCTGCTAATACTATGAAGCATTTTAATTCTGTTTTATCTCCGGACTTTTTCAAGAGTAGACACATGTCTGAAATTATATTTTTATTTGCATAAAGGTTTCAAATGCCCTCGCATAGTCTTAATATATATAATACGTGTATTTTTATATATATGAAAAACATTTGGCTAAGTGTGAATGTTGCCTCGGTTTCTTAACGCAAAAGGGAAGTAAAATGAATAATCATGAGGTTTTGAATCGTGATCTCAAAAAACAATTCTTGTCTAGCTGTGTATAGTTTGTAGGATTACACAGTATACTCTTTAATTAACACTGAGACAATAAGGAGTGGGTACAGAATGCTGCCTTGTGATGAAATCTGAGAACTTGATTTAAAACTCCCGAGCTGGGCATCTGACTCTGTTAGATCAAGGCCATGCTAAGTAAGTAACTTCTCTCTGCCGAAGCTGTAGCATGTCTGAAAGCTGCCAGCTTTCATAAATCAGCATTTTGGATTGCCAGGTGAAGAACACACATATGAAATGGGGTGTGGGGAGCTGAGTGACCAGGGAGACTCTCAATCATCTGTTTTTTTGGTAATGGCTGGCATGCAAAGGAGTGCTTTAACTGCACCATTGCTATCAGAGGCACTGTCTCAGGCAGCTGCAATTAAATATTATCTAGAAAACATATCGTGACATGTTTTCCATGACTTTGTTTTCATTTTTTTTCTTACTTGGCTGCCATATCACTGTTGCTGATGATGAGTTAAAGGCAACTAAATGCGCTTTGGCAGTGTGAACTTTTTTGCAAGTTAAAAAATATCATAAAAGCTTACTGGTGGAGTGTAAACCAAACTCCAACAATGTCTGGAACTAACATTAAAAGTCAGAAGTGCTCGCCCTTTCAAAAATAAATCCCAAAAAACCCTTGGCAGCAAAGGACATTATAACCAATTGCAATGTCCAATACCACACAAATAAATACTGTGGAGAGAGAGCAGTTATTGCTTTGTAAAAGTTTTTCCTCTCCCCTGTTATAAAAGATGGTAACTTTTCTGCACTTTAGGTCCAACCTAAATCCCCTTGGTAGTTCTTTTAGGGGAATCAAAAACCACGAGGCAGAAAAGCAACAGCAGCTCAGCCAATCCAAAGTGAAACCTCGAGTCACTGCAGCTGGAGGCACAGTTTAGAACCCAGCTTTCTGGAAAGACCAGTTCTCCCTGCTGCTGGAGAAGGGAGGGGAAGGTTGAAAGTCTGTGTCACACGGATTTCAAATGCAGCTTGATTTGCAGGCTCAAGGATTGGTTGCAGCGCTCTGTACTTTGAAGAGGGGTTTTTAAGGGCTGTTCTTCCCCTCAGGTGTCGAAGTGGGTGAATTTTGAGAAATTTGAGAGTTGCTAGTCAGTTTAAATCAGATAAGCCTTTCCTAAAATTTCTCTCAAATAGTTGGAGACAAAGCAAAAATGAAAGTTCCTTGGGTTCACTTTCATCTCACCCAACTTCAGATCCCGACCTTGTAAACTGGCCCCACTATGTTCTTTTATATCAGTGAGTACGTGTTGGCATGCTCAGGGTGCAGCAGTGGCCTTTGGGAAAGGCAAATTAAACTCTAGAAGTGTGTGTTTCTTTCCACTGTCTACAACTACTCTCTTCAGGGGTATCTCCCTCACAGGGGGCTGCTGCTCCATCAGGTCTGTCCTGTCTCTGCTTTTTCAGTCCACAGCTTTTGTAGCACGAGCTGTGTCTTG